TAGCTTTTGTAACATTCACTTCTGAAGCTTGTACAGCTTTTCCTTTATTCTTCTCAGTTTTATCCTTTAACTTTGGGCAGTCGATCTTCTAATATCCCTCTTCTATATAAAAGCGATATTGATTCCTACCAATACTCTTATAGCCACCTCTATTCTTTGATTTTAAACGGTTGAACTGGCGACGGTTTGGATCACGGTCTCGAACTGCTAATGCATCTCCTGATGCCTTCTCGGAAGGTTCACCATCACTCTTCCTCAACTCATAATTTACCAACGTTGAGGTCACCTTCTTATAACTAAAAGTAGTTTTTCCATTGATCATAGCGAGAACGAACGTACCGTAATCATTATCGGTAACAAATACAAAAGTAACATCGCCGTGTCTTTATCCTCAACCATGATATCCACATTGGCTATATCTAAAAGTAGCTTCGTGAAATTATTGACATGCTCCCTGATGGAAACTCCCCTCTTCATCTTGAATTGGTAAAACCTCTTCTTTAAGTGAAGCCGATTCTCAATGTTCTTCATAAGATAATTCTCATTAAGTGTTTCTCACATTCTCTTCGCTGACGTCTCGTTCATTACATCATAAATAAGATCCGGCGTCAAGCATGACCGAATAACTCCACAAGCCCTACTATTCATCTTCTTCCAAAACTTATCCTCCATGTCTTTAGGTTTCTCTTGTAACTCAAGAGTCTCCTTTAAATTCTGTGCATCAAAGGCGTCCATCACCTGACACCTCCATAATCCGAAATTAATCTTGTCGTTGAACTTCGGAACATCAATCTTCGTATTATTGATGCTCAGAATCTGTATCGCCTTCGTAAGAGACGAATCTAATGTGCTTTCTTCTTCCATATTGTCGGTCTAACTCTTCAAATAGGAATCCTTCACCAAATCCTTCGAACAAGCCTTAAGCCAAGCCTGAAGCTCTGATATCACTTGTTGTGCGTAACGGAAATTTCGGTAGCACCTCCGGTGCGCAAGGTACACAACAAGAGATTAGATCACAACGAAATTCCTGTTTCACAAAGGAAACAAGAACCAAAAGTAAAATATCTTAACAAAGTGAGATATTAGCTCTTCCTCTCATCAGTTTTAGGACTGACTTGTTGAGGGAACCTACAAGCTATTACAAATCACAGCAAGACAAACTATTTTACGTGGTTCGGCAAGTTACCTACGTCCACGAGGAAATGAGGGGGGAGATCTACTATTAGAGAGGGAGAATACAAATAGAGTTTACAATCACACAAGATCTCACAAATAAAACCCTCAAACAATCTCTCAAACCTCTCACAATTTCTCTCTCAAAGGGATGCTAACCTCCTTAAAAAAAGGCCACAACTTTTTTCTCTGCCTACGTGCTGCCAAAAGAGAAAAGAATCAGCCACCGCTTCTTTTCTTTACACGCCGCCTTGCACGCTACCTTTATTTCTACCCTTTGCTGCTTACAAGCACGAAACCCTAGAAAAAATAGAGAATTTATAGGCTGCAATCAATCGGGTGGGCCCACGCAGAAATGAAGAGAAAAACCGCATCTTGCGTACGAAATCTCCTCACTACGTCAACGTGATCTCTTCACGTGGTGGCCTTTTCACGTGGTTTTCACGAACTACAAGCTTAGCCTTTTCACTTCACTTGGGTTGTGACCCCCACTGGTCACACGTTCACAGAGACGTGGTCATTCCACTACCAACACCAATTCATGTCACTATCAAACACCAATTTTGTACCAAGCACAAACTTGGAGTCTGATAGTGAGTTGAATGCATCTCAACTCAACATCCAAGGTTATAAAAAACAAAGAGAAAATGTGTCACATGGGGTGTACTTTCCATCCAACTAATCTCCTTCACATACATGGTTGGGATTCCTCCACGCTTTAGGTAATCAAAAAAGCAAACGAGATCAACATGGCTTGGTGAGGATCCTACCAGAGGTATTTTGGTCATTTAATAAATGCTAAGATTTTAGAAATCGACTAAGGGAATGAGACCCCAAGTATTGGACCAAAATATGTTGGAAAAAGGTTCTAATAAGCTAAAGAATCAATAGTCGTGCACTAAGAACAAGGAGGGATGAACGGATAAAGAAGGCAAGTTTGGACCTAGTAAGGGGTGCACCCAACATGGGGCACATTAACATGGGTTGCGCCTAGGTGGGGTGTGCCAATGTAGACTTGGATTCTCAATCTTTCAAAATGGCCAAGATTATTAGGAGTAGAGTTAGAAGTTCAATGAGAAGTGCACCAACATGGCGTGCACCAATGAGGGCTGCAATAATGAAGGGGCGTACCATTAAGATAATTCAAGAAGTTATTGAAAGAAAAAACAAGTTATTGAGATGATAACAAATTTCACATGATCATATTATCATATGGATCCAAATGAAGAAAAAAGAATAGCAAAGGAGTGTCCAAATACATGTACACCCTTATACGTGTGCATCCTACCTTATACGTCCACCAAAGATGAGATCTCTTTGATGATTACTAACTTCGTCCAATTCAAGTTTTCCCTAGAATAAATGCTAACACTCCGATTTCTTGTCCCCTAATACTGCCAAAAAAGGAAATTTCCTCAGCAAACAGACCTGATGAGGCAATTAGCAACAAGCCACCTAGCGCTACATATGTCTAGGGGGTGCATGAATGAGGAGGGTATGGATAGAAGGGATCATTGATGATTACTCCATTCATTTATAAATAGTAGACTCTCACCCACTTGCAAATGGTTCCCTTTTTGGCTCTTCTCTTTTTGGCAAATTTTGCTCATTTTTCCTTAAAGAGACCAAGTTTTTCTCTTCTAGTCTCTGTGCCCTATAACCATGCACACATAGCTATGCTTGAGTTTTATCAAATTCTTCAAGAGTTCTTCAACTCTTATTCTTCTTCATTAAGTGATCTAATCACTCAGGGACCAAGGGAGCTCCTCCAAAGCTCGACCTCCATCATTAAGGTCTTAAACCATTGAGTTGTCATTTTTGTGGTCAATGAGGTTACAAACATAGACTCTATCGACACACCTCCTCTCTATTATTCAACATTGATGAATACGGTTACCAAGTTCAAGAGATCGTTTCTGACAATGAATGACAACCACACTATGAGTAGCTACATTAGTGACAAGTTGCTCATTGTGCAACACAATGACAACCAAATCGATTCATGTGTCAAAACCATGATGATAAAGTTTGATCAAGCGGCTTATGAGGAGTTGATTAGCCAAGATAAGATCCCTATTCATGCATGAAGACAAACTTTTATCATGGCAAAAATCCTCCATGCACACTAGTAGAAAAAGGTGCATCCTAGACGGAATTTTTCCGTCTCGGACATCCTAGACGAAATTTTTCCTTCTAGGACATCCTAGACGGAAAAATTCCATCTAGGATGTAACATCATAGACGGAATTTGCGTCTAGAATAGTATTCTAGACGGATTTTATTAATTATTTTCAATTATTCGTGGTCCAGACAGAAATTTCCATCTAGGATAAAACTCCCTCACAATCTTAAGTTTTGTTTTCGCAACTTTAATTTTGGAAAATTTTCGTGGCTCCAAAAATTTCCCCATTGTTATATATATGAGAAAACTCCCTCACAATCTTCATCCCCTCTTCCAAATTCTACCTAAAAAATCTCACCCCAACCCTAAAAAATGGACCCCACCCCCGACGCCGCCACCGCCTCCTCCTCGTCTGACAGCTATCAAAATATTTTAACAAAGTGAGATATCAGCTCTTTCTCTCATCAGTTCTAGGACTGACTTGTCGAGGGAACCTACAAGCTATTACAAATCACAGCAAAACAAACTATTTTAGGTGGTTCGGCAAGTTGCCTACGTCCACGGGACAAGGAGGGGGGATCTACTATTAGAGAGGGAGAATACAAATAGGATTTACAATCACACAAGATCTCACAAATAAAACCTTCAAACAATCTCTCAAACCTCTCACAAATAAAACCTTCAAACAATCTCTCAAACCTCTCACAATTTCTCTTTCAAAGGGATTCTAACATGCTTAAAAAAGGCCACATCTTTTTTTTGTTTTAAAGTTTAATTGGTGAAATTAATTTTTTTTTGTATTGTAATTTAGGATTTATCACATCAAACAATACTAGAAGCTAGAGTGATTTAGGACTTGTGAAACTAAGAGCATCAATTGTTTTGTATGGCTTTGTGCCTAGACCTCTCATTCAGAGCACTTCTTGGAAGAAATCTTGAACCTTCGAAACACACTATTAAAGGTTAGTGATAGCGTACCTTGTTCTGATTGGTTGTTCACATCAAAACTGAGTAAGGTAAATATTATCCATTGGTTTTCATGTGTGCATAAACCAAATTCATCTTGAGGACACATGTTATATATATGATGTGCATATCTACTTGGTGTCACTTTGCTTATTTCTGCTGATTATGACAAGGTACTTCGAAACACACATGCACACACCCTCCGTCCCCTCCCCGTACTCTCATGGACCCACACTGTCAAAGAACCACACCTGCATGCATGTGTTAGGGTTTTTCTCACCTCTGTTGCGATTTGGAAATAGAAATGAGAGAGAAGAGAGGAAAAACAGATCCCATTCTTCATATGAATTCTTATGTTCGTAAACTTTCAATAAAAGAAATAAGCCTGACTATAAGCATTGAAAACTTGGGCCACCAATCTTTATTATGTTATCTAAAATGCCTAAGAACTAAAAAAAATTGAGAAGGAACTCATTGGTGCTATTGATTCTGTGCATCTAATATCCATGAAAACAGAACCGACCACAACCTTTATCCTATGTTCCAAACTAGAAGCATGGCACAACCATAGTCCCACTGCATGGGCAAGACACACCACAACAAATTCTAAGGAGTAGACAAAATAAATAGGCTATGGTAATGTGCATTCCATGTCCACAAGAATCCTGGTAGAGCTGTTTTTTTGTAAGATCATAATAATTTTGTCTCATAGTTTCTATAAAGATCATAATAATGTCATTTCTAAGTCAATTCAAAAGATCAAAGAGACTAGTACGGTAATGCTTCTTTCATAAGCTAAGATATGAATACTGGATTTCTTATGCTCTTTTCATTCTTGATATCAGGTTGCATTTTTTTTGGCAACTATAGTTAGCTTTTCATTTTATTATCTGCTGTAGGTTTTGATTATTCTTTTTTATTCTAATTGACTGCAGGATGTTTGGCAAGGAACTCAGCTCTTAGCCATAGATGTTGCTGCCATGGCAGGATTACTCAAAAGGGCTCTTACTGGTGATGAACTCACGGAGAAGGAAAAGAAGGCTCTCCGAAGAACTCTTACTAATATGGCATCAGTTGTTCCCATAGGAATTCTCATGCTTCTTCTTGTGAGTATTTGATTTACATTATATCTATTTATTGTATTTTATTTATTTATTTATGGTCTGTATTCTCTAATTTTTCTTCTTGGCATCCTGTAATTTTTGTTTTTTGGAAAGTTCTGGTGGATGAAGATAGCTGTAGTTTTTTGAAAATTTTTTAAAAACTTTTTCTTAGACTCCAGCAATTTTTTTCTGAGCATCCTTCTTTTGTGTTGCCTAGAAAGTTTAAAGCCTCAGAATCAAGTTTCCACTTTCATATATGTGCTGAATAGTGATTTTATTTGAGCTGTTTTTTTCTTATAAGTTTGAACTTAGAAATCATAGTAGACCAACTAGAAGTTGCTACGTTACTGTTAAAGTCATTTTATCAGTACATGCAATGTTATTGGTAAATTTTACCTTACTAATTTATGTGTCATCTTAGGTTATTGTTGTTGGACATGCAGCGATGTTGGCTGTCATTCAAAGATATGTACCTTCTTTGCTATGAATCATTGTGATTCTTCTTCTACCTGTGGGGGCATGTATTTTATGTTTACTGGACTAAAACTGCTACTCTTTCCTTGGTTACACTTACAGATACCATCCACTTATGGTCCAGAGAGGCTGGATCTGTTGAGGTAGCTTGAGAAAGTGAAAGAGATGGAGACCGCTGATAATGGCTGTGATGAAATGACAGAAGCAATTAGCTCAAGCAGCAGCAATCAACAATAATTTCATTTCCTGATATTAAATCAGCAATGATGATACGTACTGGAAATTGTACAAATCAAGATTGACCATTTCATATAGGTATATACTTTGATTATTTCACACAAAGGGCTGTTGACTGGCCTCTGAAAGAGGTTGAATTAAATTTTTAGTCTAGGAAAGAAGTGTTAAGCTTCATGTTCCCATTTCTTTGGTAGTCCCCTGGTGCCTGTTGTGTTTCAATGCATTACTCTGTATATAACAATAGCTAGGATAATTAGTATTCACAGAATCAATAGCGATTTGGAAAACTTGTTATTTCTTTTTTGTGTATGTGACAATATTACCTTTGTTTTTTGTGTATGCTAAATTTTTTGCTTAAAGTATGTTCCAATTTTGTATAATGAATGCTCAGTTTATACTCAATACACAAAGTATGTTTAAAAAAAAACACTGTAGCACGTATCCTAGATGGAAATTCTATCTAGAATACTATATCCTAGACGAAATTTTCGTCTAGGATACTTTTTAGATGGAAATCTGCCTAGGAAGTATCCTAGACGAAATTTCCATCTAAGAAATATCCTAGATGGAAATTCTAGACGAAAATAAAATCTGCCTAGGAAGCTATCTTAGATGGAATTTCCGTCTAGGATAGCTTCCTAGACGGATTTTATTTCAGTCTAGGATTATCCGTCTAGGATGTATCCTAGACGAAAATTCCATTTAGGATACCACATCCTAGACAGAAACATTCTCGACTCACATCTTAGATGGAATTCCGTCTGAGATAGTTTTTTTAGACGGATATTTGAGTATCCTTGACGAAATTTTCCGTCTAGAATGCCTCATTTTGTACTAGTGGCATGAAGAGAGAAGTGTCAATACTTCTACCTGCGGCCTTCGCATTTTCGTCCGAGGCAAGGTTCGATTCTCCATACAAAGAAGGCTATCAAAACTCAAATATGGCTAAAAATCAACATATATCCGTGTGGCTCTATACCAATGTGCCCTGCTAATGGTGTACCCCGCTATGGGTCTTCACATGTGTACCCCTTTGTTGACAGGCCCCAAAAAAATTCATCATTCGTTCCCCTCTAAGTGTGTGCCCCTAAGTGTAAACAATAGGGTGTGTCGATAGCACCTGTGCACCCACCAAGAGATAATGCCGAAGAGTTTCTACGATCCCTTTTTCCATACGCTCTAGGCTCTCAATACACATAAAATACAAGAATGGGTCTCCTTTTATTCCAAAATTCAAAATTTAAGGGAAAGTAACTAAAGGGGGCCTATAACCTCGCACTGGAGAAGAAATAGCATCAAGAAAAGTAGAAAGTGAGGAGTGGCATGTGGTGAAATCACTAAGAGTGAAGAGAAAACCTAGAAAGGTGATGCAACTCGAGGATCCAATACTTGTGCAAATGCTGCCAAAATACTGGTGAGGGTCAAAGAGAAAAATTTGTGGAAACCTTGATCAAAGCTGTAGCCATTGCGATCTCGAAGCATTCTGTGTTAATCTCTAGAAGAACTCAATGTACTTCTGCATCAACTTCTAGAGATTCCCGAGGGTTTTCCCTATCTAATCTTAAGGCAACTCAGGGTGTTTCCATGATACCCCTAGGGAGGCAGAAAAAACTAATAGTTGTAGTAGTAGTCGACAGTTCAGTCCCGATCCGAGAAAGGAAAAAGATAAATGGAAGATGTGTAGTGCCATATTGACTATCCATAGTGATGATGAAACACCAACTATCAATACTTAGCGAATCAGAAGATGAAGCTTTAGTGGCTTGAATTGTTTGGAATGTTGGATAGCATGTTCCTAATAAGTTTCCTAATTTGTTTTGATAACAGGTTATTGAGATTACTAATCTGTTTTGGTAACAGGATTCCAAATCTGTTTTGGTAACAGGTTATTAGGATTCCTAATATATTTTGTTTTTTGTTTTAGAATTCCTAGTATGTTTTTTGTTTTAGGATTTCTATATATATGGAACATTTGGAAGAGAGAATTGAGCAACAAATTGGGGATATTTTGAGCATAGAAAAGATGTATTTTCTGAGCTATTGGTTAGGGTTTTATTTGGAGAGAATTAGAGATTTGTTGGTGAGATTAATTAGTGAGTTCGAGTGTTTTGTGATCTCAATTTGTACTCTTCTTCTCTATTAGAGAAAACCTCATCCCCTTCTTGCCCCGTGGATGTAGGCAACATGCCGAACCACGTTAAAATTTTTTGTTTTTGTTCGTGTCATTATTTTGAATTGTTTGTGGCCTTCTCTCTCGACGATTGGTTTGGTTTCTCGAAGCACATCGGTTGTTTGGCTTCCGTCGCGCATAACAAGTGGTATCAGAGGTTGGGCTACGCTTGGGCTATTTAGAGGATAGATCATTTTGGAGGCTCGTCTAGGGCTTCGTTTAATGATAAAGGTGGGATCTTTTTGGTAAAGACTCTATCTTTTTAATTTTGGATCTATTCTTCGTTTGTTTCACTTTAGTTTTTGGTGCTTTGAGAAAGATGGTCGAGAAAGAAGGAGTTGTGGGTGGTACTTCCGGCGTGAAGGCCGTCCAAAGTTTAAATATTCACTCTATGAAGATAAACTGGAGAAGTTTAATGGTGTAGGCATCGAAAATTGCCTATAGGTCTCCACAAACGGTTCAGTGTTAATGAGCGACGATGAAC